AGAGTCTGCCAAGAATCCGTTACCCGTGATGAGGGACTTGTGCTCCTTATTTGCTGCTTGCATGTGGCATGGTGTTCTCAGTGCCGAACAGTTGACACAGCATTTTAATCCTCACAGCACTTGGCACTTGGTGCAGGGATCTTGCTTCAGTTGAGTTTGATGCCAGCAAAGCGCAGTGAACGCAGGTGTTACGACACTTTAGCCACATTTCTTGTCATGGTAGCAGTTGCATTTTTGCACAAGTGATTTGTGTTGCCAAGGATGGAGGGTCCACCGATAGCGGCACGGCCACCAGTACATCGGGAAGATGAGGAATTGTGCTCGCTTGACAGAGAGAGAGAGAGAGAGGGAGAGATGAATATTGGTCGATTTGACTGCAGACTATCAACGCAAAAGAAAGTTGAGCCTGACCCGAGGCCGAAACACCGCTGCTTAGCAAACAAGCAGAGCCGAAAGCCATGGATCATGGACAACAAAAGGTAAAGAAACACGAGTCACACGAGCATCAAACATGAAATAGTGAAGGGCAGCAAAACAGAAAGAAAAGGACAATGAACATCAAAAGAAATGGAAAAAGGGACACGCGCATATATATATATATATATAATATACTTAGTACATGCTGCTTGGAACCTGTGGAAAGCAGGTTATGTTTCAGGAATACATTTCATTAGCCAAAATGCTTTGCCATTTTGGCTCAAGCCTGGGAACCTAAAGTGAAAATATCTCCTGTGATTCCTCCTTTTCATCTTTGTTGCCATGTCGGCCTCTGGATCTGATGAGGCCCCCTCGGTGACTTCCTTCACCCTGGATCTAAGTGAGGCGGAGGAACGTGAGAAAGAGATTGGCCGCTTTGAGGAGCAATCTTGGAAGGCGCCGGCCGTGCCGCTGACGCGTTGGCTGGATCCTCCACTGATCCTTGTGACCCCCATGTCGCAGCAGTTCTGCACTCCATCAACCAAGGGTCTAAGTCCCCCTTCCCCCCTCCATTCCTGGACAAGGTACTGTACGCCACGCGTTGGTGGCACCTAACATGGACCTGGAGGCCATCATTGAGCCGGCCCACCAGGCAGAGGACCCGGACCGGGAACACACCCTTTTGATTCGGCAGGGTGTCCCCTTCAAAAAGAACCGAACCGACCCTCCAGTCCCCCACAAAGGAAGAATTCCGTGGCCAACCAGACCTGACAGAGGATCTCGCCCCACCAAAAGGGAGGTCCAACTATACCTCGGCGGAAGACTTTGCGCAAGCTATCAAGGCCACTTTTTGAAGAGGAGAAGATGATGGGCATCGTAGATGGCCCCTTTACCCCAGCCGAGGCAGCCCAAAGGTGCCACTGTCCAGAACAGGACCTTTGCCCCATGGCGGCATGAGGGGGACAAAATCCGTACAATCTATGATGGATCCTGGGGGGGCCAATCAATGGATTCAACAGAACACAGTGGAAAAGACCACGGCGCCCACCGTCATGGACTGTGTCCATGGCTCCAGGCGTCTCCCCCATCAGACACACCTCCGGGTGCAGACGCCATAGGCTCTGAAACACGTGGGGGGCGGTCATCCGATGGACTGGAAGAACTAGATTGCCTAAATTGATGGGGATTTGTGGACCAACAAAGTTGGGTGGCCTCCCAACTCTACTCCTCCGGATCATGTACTACCTGTTTCCCATGGTGGACTGGGCGTTTGTGTTTGTGGAGCTCCTTCGATCGGCCGAAGCGCCTCTCCATACATGCGTTTTTGCTGGCTACTCTAATTGAGTTGGAAGAAGACTCTCGTGGGACCAATAAACACCTGGCTGGGCTGGGCTTTGTGATACAGCCCGTGGCCCGATTGTGCAAATGGCCAAGGAGAAGCACAACAAGGCTGGAGATCCTCCGCAGCACCTCCCTGCCCCTGGCGAGCAATGGAAGGGAGCTGTCAAGTCAAGTGGTAGACCAAACTGGTCCGGACTTGCCAAGCTGATTGCAACTCTCCTCAGTGGACATTTTCTCCCACCTACCCCGTTCTGCCGCCCATCTCCTTGGCGGGGGGCCAGTGATGCCAGCGCAGGTGATGCGGGAATGTTATGTGGGAGGTTGGCTCAGTGACCAAGAGCCGTCTCGAAGGAGGATGTGTGGTGGTTTCAGCTCCACCTGCGGAAGATGCGGGTTTTTCTGGGCCTTCCTGAAAGCCAACCCGGGCGCCAACATCCCTTTGCTGTAAATTGTAAATGTTGGGTTCACTATTGCTGGCCTCCTTCTTGATGGAGGCGTACGCAGCCGCCTTCAGTTCCGCATACCGTTGATCTCCAACAACCACGGCAACATCTTTGCCACGCTGAATCAATCGACCCGGAAGATGCCCACGGCAGCAGTTGATGCAACTAGTCCTTTCACTGCGCCAAGGGGGCTGCCAGCTGGCCCCCTCCCATGTCAAGAGAGACCTGAACACTTGGGCGGATGAATTGACTCACCCTGATCCGACCGGATTCAACCTGGCGAAGCGCCTCCGCGCATCAGGCCCTTTGCAGAGCCACACACTGATGAATTGGGTATTTCAAGAACTTTATCCAAAGACTAAACCGGGGACAGGCGCCACGGGCTCTGAAATCCCTGAAAGCACAGGATGGTTTAGTCCTTGCTCCTTGAGCCTCTTTGTTTTCACCACTAGTTGGCGACACCCATGGACCCGTTTTCCTTCAGGGAGCCTGGTAGCAAGTCAACTGGGATCGGTGGCGGTTCATCTGAATGTGACATCATTTAATTCAATCAAGACCACAAATCTAACCAAACTGCAAAAGAGTGCTGCTTTTGCTGCTTCGAGTTAGCTTTTGGTCTTGATGTTTCCTGAAACCTATATATATATATTATGTGTAGCGTACAGAGGAAGGAAGAGAGGATAGATGTGAAATGATCCTTCTGCGAGCACCTCCAGGAGGGTAATGACATAACAAAAATCATAATTGTCGCTCCTGCTAAACAATCTTTCACAATTCTCTGCTTACTAGGTGCTTTCCTTGACCAGTTTTGTCCATCCACATTGTGTTACTCCAACACAGCCTCGCAACATTGAATGGCCGGAAGAGTGATGATGCACGCGTACAATAGAAGTTTGTTTGGTTGGGGGAGGTAGGTTAGTAGAAGAGGTAGCTAGTATCTAGGGAGTCGCTACTACCTACGAGTCAGCTACTAGGACGCAGGATAGCTCACGCTATTCGTTTGGTTCCTACATTTTTAGGGAAGCGTAACTGTTGTTCCTTTGTTTTCGCCCTGAAAGGATCCTCAAGATCTTCGGCTCGGCAGGGCGACTCCGGAACGGGTGACCCAGTCGAATGCACGTGAGCTGTACAAAGGTTCAGATTACTGGGGACAGGACAGTTCCACCGATCAAATCAGTAAGGTTTCCATTCTTTACAATTAGAATTATGCTCTACACTCTACACTTGGCCGACATTCGCTTCAAGATGCTTCGAGCGTCTTCAAGAACAAGATCAACGACATTTAGCTTGTTTGCGCGTGAACCCACATCCTTAACTATTTTGTTGACCTTGATTGAAAGAGAGCTATGATTTTAGTGTAGAGAGTCCAGAGGTGAATGTCTTACAGAAAGGAGTACGTAGGAGTACTTACAAACCTAAGGTGACCGCCTGGCGCGTTTTCGATAGCTGCGTTTTCAGTGCGCTTTGTATATTATTGGATCGCGCCTGTGCGTTCCCTTTGCCACTGCAAAGAGTACGTTCCCTACCCGGCTGTGTTCTTCCACAGCTTAGTTACAAACGCCCGAATCCTGCTGGACTTGAACAACCCGCACAGACACAGACTTCTCCACCTTGCGCCTTGTATCTCAATCCATACTGTACTTGCGGGACTATGGCTTCATCAAACTCTCCTTTTTTCCCCACGAGCGCAATGTTTGCTTTCAAGCGGGCGTTGGCTTCATGGTTGCGAGTTCCTTCAGCTTGTTTCCTTGCAAACGAGTGACCTTGTTCAAAACATGGGGCAACAGTTTTTTCAGCAAGAACTAAAGACATGCAAGATGATGCTAAACTTCAGAACTTGAACCCCAAAGTGTGAGAAGCTCTGGTTGCCAAGAATGTCTTTGCCTCTTAATTTACACCGCTTCGCGGTCGAAGGTAGTACAACTGTAGTACGCGGAGTAGCTGGGGAGCTGGAAGCTGAG